GAGATCAGTTACAAATGGGTTGGATTCGCATCAATCCTATCGATCCAAACGATCCAAATGTTTTATATGCCGTCACATATCCGGAACCGCCTTTTACCGGTTCCCTAGTTTGTAATGTATAGTATTGTTGAAATTTATTATTACAATATATATTTTAGTCAGGGTTAGGTAAGCGAGGGGGGGGGAAAAACCAAAATACCCCATCTAAGATCGATACATTTTGCGATTTTATTCCCCCAGACTTTTTGACCAAATTGGAAAAATTTGTCGATTAAAAACAAGGAGATATGACCCCCTCCCCTCCTCTAAATTTTTTTTGAAATTTTAGTTGATACTAATTTACTAAATGTTTTTATTCTTTTAATATTTATATGAAACTAATTATTGATTAAAACTAAGTAAAATATTTAAAATAACTTTTAAAAAATATTAAATTACAAATTACTTATTTGTTGACAGGAGTAATCATATTACAACTTAAATAAATGTTTAAGATAGTTTAAGAAGTTAGTAAAACAATAAATACTTATATTTTAAAGTTTTTATTAATAATTTTTAAAATTATAAATTAAAAATTTGAAAATATTTTCATTTTTATAATTAATATAAATAAAGCTTTAACAAAACTAGTTAAATAATTAGTATTCAGTCAATATTTGTATAAAAATAATATTTAAAAAACAAAATATTCTTTCGAACTATAAGCATTAATTATTGTTTTAAAAATTAATTATGTTAAAAGTTAAAAATTATAAAAATATTAAAAATAACTCATAGTGTATCATTAATGCTTTTATCAACTATTTTTTAATTTTAAATACATTATTTTATTTTTTGTTAAAATTTAAGTTTTTATTAATTTTTAATTTTATTTAAATATTTATTTTTTGTTAAAATTTTAGTTTTTATTTATTTTTTATATTTTTTGAAATTTTACCTATTTTCCTTGGAATTTATACGGGAACTTATGGGAACTTTATGGAATTTACATAGAAATATTAGGGAAATTATGAGAATTTTAGGGAATTTATCTTGACCACCCCTTGATTTTGGATTTTTGAAAAAATTGCCGTTTAAAAATGTAATAAAAGTCTATGCTTCCCCTATACCCCTAACCAAGATTTTTTTTAAAAAGAATTTTGCAGATTTCACCCCAGTTTACCCCCCCCCCCCTAAAATCCAAAACCTTGCTTTAACCCTGAATTCAATATATCTGTACACTGGTATATATATTATATATTCTTAAATAACAATAAAATATATATTTGTATGTATGTTAGGGTGATTCCGGTGGTCCACTAATACAGTATACCAATGGTAGGGCTGTCCTAATAGGTGTTACCGTTAGGACTATAATTAAATTTGGTTTATGTGTTACATATGAGTCGGTTCGCATGGATTTCATCAGAGTTGCCACAAAAATCAATTGGATTATCGATAAAATTAAAAATAATTAAATAATAAAAATTATAATATTTTAATTAATTAGAAAGTAATGTATTTTTTATTTATGTTAATTTTTTAATGATTTTAATAGTATTATTAGTAAATTGAAAAAATAAATTATTAGTTATATAATTATTATTACTATTATTATATAAATTATATTTTGAATAAACATTATACAGTGTACTAATTAAAATTTTATGATAATTTTTTTTTTAAATATTAATTTATCTAAATGTTAAAAAACTAAAAAAATAAATTTCTGTTTAATGTAACAAATATTAGTTTACTTATAAATATATATATATATATTGAAATAATTACTGATTAGTTAACTAAATTGTAACTAATTTTCAAGTTTATCATTTAGTTTTTGATTTTTTTTCTCCCCATAATATTGTCTATTGATTCACTATTAAAAAAATTTAATACATATTTAATAAAATTTGATGCAATTATAGTATTGTATAATTAAATAAATCAATCATTGATTTTATCAAATATTTATTTTTTTTAATTTTATAATTAATATGCAAAGTAAGCATAAGATATAACAGTCTACTAATGATTACAACAACAAAACAACACATTATATTCAAAAATTAAAATTATATATAATTTATATATAAATATTACATATTATTTAATATTATGTTATTTAAAAATCATAGCCAAAAGTTATACAATTTTTATAAAAAAATATATTTTATAATTATTTTATCTGATATCAACATAAATTAAAAAATAAAATACATAAAATATTGTCATTAATATAATTATTTAATTTTATCAAATACTGTAAATTAAATTCAATAGTGTTAATATGTTAACTCAATTAATAATTGAACTAACAATTGTATTAACAATTGATCCGGATAATATTATTACTAAATTCAATCAGGTAATGTTTTTCAACATTTAATTATAAATATATATATAAATATTTCTAAAATTAATATTAATAATTTATACTATAATAATAATAATAATAATAGTTATATAATATTTATTATATATTATAATCTTTAAAATACTATTTAGACTACAAAATAATTTATATATTCATTTTTTATATTTTTTTAAAGCAATTTACACAAAATATGTTACAATCATTAGTTGAATTCAATCAAAATGATAGTAATTATCAAAAAAAAATTTGATATTATCTATATTTGTGTAAAGTTTGAAAATCATTCAAATTGTTATTATATAGATGATTCAATAATTAATAATAATAATAATAATACATTAGTTCAATTACACGACACTAAATCATTTTATAATAAACGTTTTAATTATAATTTAATTGCATATAAAAACAAAATGTATGCTATTGGTGGTACTTATTTACGTGTTAGTATGATTTTAATTATATTTAATTAAAAATTTTAAAATTTAATTTTACTATTTTATTAAATATTTAATTCTAATTTCATAAGTCAAAGTGCATTGATTTGGTTGAATCATTTAATCCAATGGATGTATCAATTAATTATCAAATATCTTTTCTAACAACACCTAAATGGTTTGTATTATAAATATATTTAATTTTTTTAAATTTAATATTTTAATTTTAATAAAAACATTAAAAATAGTATATTAAATATGTAATGTGTTGTTTTGGCTGTTAGTATCAAGTTCAAAAAGATAGGGTTGGCCTACCAACTCCCAATAACCTATTTTATATATATTGATATATATATATATTAAAAATTTTATATTAATGAATAAAATACTAAGTGACTTTTAATATAGATAGATAGTTTATATTTGCAAAATAAATTAATAGAAATTTGTTAAATGTTAAATTTAAAAAATTAAAAACAATATATATATATATTATATATTTAATTAAATATATATATATAAATAAACTACAATTCAATAAATAATTATTTATAATTTATTTTTTAAAAAGTTTTTCTAGTATTTCTGTATTACATGATATTATCTATGTTTGTGGCGAAAATTATAGCGAAAATAATGGCAAAAATTTGATTACATGCGAAACATACGATAGTCTAACTAATACATGGAATCAAATAAAACCACTTAATATTAATCGTTTTAGATATGCATTGACTACACATTTAGGTTATTTATATGCAATCGGTGGTCAATTTATTAAAAGATATAACGATAATACAAACGAGTGGTCAACTGTGTCTTATTTTGAAAGGGGGTAAATATTTAATAAAAAAAAATAATTTACTTTTATTTATTATATATGTCAAAATAAATTATTAATTTTTTTTAAAATAAAACAATTATAGACAAGTACTATCTGCTATTTCATATATGGATTATATTTATTTTACCTATTATTATACGGGTACTTGTCGTCTATATAAATACAATCCTATAGATAATAAATATGAAATATTATGTAAATATATTTAATTTAATTTTTTTATACAATTTAATTAATATTTTTTTATTAATTAACTTATATTTATTTTTAATTAATTAGATTATTTACGTGATATGTATTACTGTATGTTAATTATCTATAAAGAAACTTTAATCTTTTTTAACAAATCCTGTAATAATGATTCAGGTAATAATAATACATTTTTTTTTTAAAATAATAATAATATTTAAAAAATTTATATTTTATTTTATAATTACAGAATGTTTTGTTAGAATATTGAAAAATGATACTTGGATATATAAAAAATTAAATTTAACAGGCTTAATTATTTCGGTAAATATATTAATATATTAATAATTTATTAATTAATTATGATTTAATATTTATTAATAAAAACTAATTTTGTTTTTTACAATTAATTCAATAGGTTATCAACTTTTCTAACTAAATAATTAAAAATCAAACTAATATAAAAATATTAATTATATTTTTTTATATAATATTATAATTATTATTAATTAATTAAATTTAACTTAAGATAAATTTGAATTTTAAATAATTATTATACAATTTAATATGAACTCTAATTATAAATTTTTAAATAAACATAAATTTATCAAAATTACAATTAAAACTTTTAAAATTAAATTAGTTTATAAAATATATTATTTATTACATTTAATTATTAGTGGACAATAATTTTTAAATATTTTACAAAAAAGTGTTTTTTGCTAATTATTATTTTATACATTGATTTTAAATAAAAAAAATAATATTTTATTTTATTTTCTAATATCATATTATCAATAAATCCATATCATATTATGTAAATTAAAACTGTAATAAAAAAAAATTTTAATACACTAAAATTTTTTATCATGTTTAATACTTTTTAATTAAATTCGTTTATATATATATAAAAAAATATTACTTTAAAAAAACTTAGTATTTTATATTAAGTTACAATTACAAAAAAATATATGTAAAGTTTTTTTTATTAAATAATAAATAGACTAAATAAATATTAATTTATGAAATTTAAGTAATAAAAAGAAATTTAAGTATTTTTTAAAAATTTTATTAAAATTATAACTGTTTTATAAAATATCTATTGATTCAATTATAGTTAATATTTAACTTTCATTAAACTATTATTTAAATAATTGTTAAAAAAATGTTTTGTTTGATAACAATATGTAAGTATTTTTAACTTTATTATTACAATTTAGTTAAATTTGTATCAATATATCATAAAATTAACATAAAAAACAAATAATTTTAAAAAAATAAAGTTATAATCGGTGTTTGCAATGTTGTTGTGTTTGGCCTACAAATCGGTGATTATCCGGACATTACTAATACTACTGACTGTGGTATCGGTCGTGAGTCGCAACTGATGACCGACCGGTGCTTTGAATGGCACAGTAGTCGTGATTTAATGAACACTTCCTCCTCCTTGTCCTCAATAGTCAACGGAAGGGACGCAAAGAGGGCTGAATTGCCATATATTGTATACATCGAGGAGTGGAAAGACAACAAACTCAGGTATTTTGACTTTTTAAATATATATATATATATAYAGTATATATCTATTGTATTAATAACTCTCTCTCTCTCTCTCTCTCTCTCTCTCTCTCTCTCTCTCTCTCTCTCTCTCTCTCTCTCTCTCTCTCTCTCTCTCTCTCTCTCTCTCTCTCTCTCTCWCTCACTCACTTTAAATATGTATATATAATCTGATATTTTATATAAATCCAGTGCTMGATGTACGGGAACTGTACTCAACCAGCACTGGATACTGACTGCTGCCCACTGTTTTGATGAGAGAKCCGACTCTACATATAATATATATGCGGGACTTACAGATATTAGATATCCGGGCATTGAATATGGTATCAATAAAATCATTGAACACGAAAACTATTGGCAATCAGAGGAAGACGACATAGCATTGATTAATGTGAAAATACCGATGAATTTCAGTGCAAACAATGGTTACTATTATCGGCAGATAAACGGTATTTGTTTGCCGACTATCGATCACAACAACACTGACTACGAGTACGCCGTAATCGCCGGTTTTGGTCGGACTGCCGGACATGAATGGAGAGATCAGTTACAAATGGGTTGGGTTCGCATCGATCCTATTGATCCAAACGATCCAAATGTTTTATATGCCGTCACATATCCGGAACCGCCTAACGGTTCTCAAGTTTGCAATGTATAGTATTGTTSAAAATTATATATTTAATACATTTGTTAATTATAATGTTTGTTTGTTTGGTATGTATTGGTTGGTTGGTTGGATTTTTAAGGGTGATTCCGGTGGTCCACTAATTCAGTATACAAACGGTAGGGCTGTCCTAATAGGTGTAACCGTTAGAACTATACTACAATTTGGATTATGTATTACATATGAGTCGAAACTTATGGATTTTACCAGAATTGCCACAAAAGTCGATTGGATTATCCATATAATAAAAAATACAACAAATAATTAAATTTAAATTTATTTATCAAATATTACTATTTTTTAAAACTAATTTTAGTTAAGATAGAGTTAATATTATAACTCTATATAGTTTTAATAGTTTATTTTAGTTTTACATTTATTAAATAATAAATTCTTCTAATCTAATGTTTTATAAATCAAACATTTAATAAACTATACTTTTAAAAAAACACAAAATTATTAAATTGAAATTATCGTAAATTCATAAAATAAATGTTAAACCAAATAAAAAATAATAATTAATTTAATTTTTAAAAAAATTAAAGCAAATCAGGACTAAATTGCTATAAATTGTAAATACATTGATGAGTGGGAATGACAACAAAATTAAGTATTTTGACTATTTTTATATACATATACTATATATATATATAGTAATAATCTATAATTTAATATATAAATCCAAATCTAGGTGTACGGGAACTGTACTAAACCAGCACTGGATACTGACTGCTGACCACTGTTTTGATAATTGTGCCGACTGTAGATATAAAATATTATATATGCGGGACTTATATAGATATTATAGATATCCGGGTATTGATTATGGTATCAATAAAGTCAATTCAATACGAAAACTATTGGCAATCATTAGATCTGAWTAATGTGAAAATAGCAATGAATTTCAAAYATTATATATATATATAAATTATTATAATATAAATTAATTTAAACATAATGTGTTTAAATSTGTTAAAATTACTCGATACTAACATTTAATTAATAAATAACTGATATATATTTAATACACAGTTAGTATAAAATCATAAGTTTTTTTCAAAAATAAATAAATAAATATTACTAAATAATAATAATTTTTCTAATTAATATTAAAAATGTTGTTTAATGTATATATATATAAATTAATTTAAACATAATTTGTTAAAATTACCGGGTACAAACATTTAATTAATTAATAAATAACTTATATTTATTCAATTACATTGTTAATATAAAATCATAAGTTTTTTTTGGAAAAAAATAAATAAATATTACTAAATAATAATATTTTTAAATAATTAATATCAAAAATGTTATTTAAATTAAAAGTTTAATTAAACGACATTTTTTTAATTAATTTATTGTCTCAATTACCTTAATGATGCCGATATTTTTAAATAATTAATTATTGAATAATTAGTTATTTTAATTATTAAAAAAAATCTCCACATAATCATCTTAGTAATAGTACAACTTTTAGATAATAATTATTTTTTTTAATTTCAAATTTATTGATTATAGATTATTTTACAATTATTGTTATTATTTTTATTTAATGAAATTATATGATTTATTTTTAAAATATTAGTTTTTTTGTTTATTTAGACAATTATATATATATATTATATATATATATATATATAACATGAAGCAGTCATTGAAATCAATGGATAATATGATGATTACTCTAGTAGTAGTAGTAGTAGTAGTAGTAGTAGTAGTAATCATTATACTGGACATGTCGTTAATGTGGTCACCTGTAGACGGTTTTCACCATCACCTTAGCCGGAGCCGCGGCCGCGGTCTCCGCCATCATCTGCACCGCCGTTGCCAACAGGACTGGCAATGCGATCGACTATTTTATTGCGATCGCATATATGATATTTGTTTGCTATCGGAGGACAACAATAATGATGATAATTATGAAAACAATGATAACAAATATATTAAAAATTATAATCCTTGGCGTCCTATGGGTTAAACCCTATTTTGGACTAAAATAAATCAATCAATAGTTATATACAGTATATATATATATAATAAATAATAAAAAATAGTCTGTATAATTATGCTATTTGCAATATATATAAATTATAAATATTATAAATTAAAATTATTAAATTAAAATAAATATGAAATATATTATTTATTTTATGATCTGATTTTTCATAAACTATTAAAACAATAAAATCAATACTTGTTTTTCAATACAATTTTTTTATTTAAAAAGTAGATTTTTAATTTGTTGTAATCATGTTATTTACTAATAAAAATAAACTTACTTAATAACAGATATGTTGTTTATTTTTGTTATTAGTGTTATATGTTTAGTATAAATATTGATAAAACATAATATTTTATATTTATAAATTAATATACTGAAATATATGTATATAATTTTATTGTTTTTTTTGGCTAATTCAGTATATATATATATATATATACTGTATATACTATACAACATTAGTTTTATAACATTTTCTAAATAAATATATATATATATATACATCCGTAATCTATTGTTAAATAAACTATACTTTAAAAATAATTTAATATATAAATACAAATCTAGGTGTACGGGAACTGTACTCAACCAGCACTGGATACTGACTGYTGTCCACTGTTTTGATAACTATGACGACTGTTGATATAAAATATATGCGGGAATTATATAGATATTATAGATATCCGGRCATTGATTATGGTATCAATAAAGTCAATTCAATACGAAAACTATTGGCAATCAATATCTCTGATTAATGTGAAGATAGCAATGAATTTCAAACGTGATATATATTTATATAAATTATTATATAATAAATTAATTTAAACTAAATGTGTTAAAATTACCCGGTACTAACATTTAATTAAATAAATAAATAACTGATATATATTCAATTACACAGTTAGTATAAAATCACAAGTTTTTTTATTGAAAAAAATAAAAAAAATATTAAAAATGTTGTTTAAATTAAAAGTTTAATAAAACGACATTTTTTTAATCAATTTATTGTCTTATGATACCGTATTTTTATTTAATTAATTATTGAATTATTAGTTATTTTGATTAAAAAACAAAAAATCTCCACATAATCATTTTATTAATAGAATATTATATATATATTTTTTTGATAAATATAACAAAAAAAGACAACTTTTAAATAATAAGTAATTTTTTTTTAAATTTATTGATTATAGATTATTTTATTATTATTATTGTTATTATTATTTAAATGAAATTATATGATTTATTTTTAAAATATTAGTTTTTTGTTTATTTAGACAATAATATATATTTTATATATATATACAATATAATATATATAACATGAAGCAGTCATTGAAATCAATGGATACTATGATGTTTACTCTAGTAGTAGTAATCATTATACTGGACATGTCGTTAATGTGGKCACCTGTAGACGGTTTTCACCATCACCTTAGCCGCAGCCGCGGCCGCGGTCTCCGCCATCATCTGCACCGCCGTTGCCAACAGGACTGGCAATGCGGTCGACTATTTTATTGCGATCGCATATATGATATTTGTTTGCTATCGGAGGACAACAATAATGATGATAATTATGATAATTATGAAAACAATTATAACAAACGTATTAACAATTATAATCTTTGGCATCCTATGCGCTAAACCCTATTATGGACTAAAATAAATCAATCAATAGTAATATACGGTATATATGTATAATAAATAATTTATTTATTTATTTATTATTAAAAAAATAGTCTGTATAATTATGCTATTTGCAATATATAAATTATAATTATTATAAATTAAAATTATCAATATGAAATATATTATTTATTTTATGATCTGATTTTTTATAATACAAATATAAACTATTATAACAATAATATCAATACTTTGTTTTTTAAAAAAGTAGATTTTTAATTTGTTGTAATCATGTTATTTACTAATAAAAATAAACTTACTTAATAACAGCTATTTTTTATTAGTGTTATATGTTTAGTATAAATATTGATAAAACATAATTTTTTATATTTATACATTAATATACTGATATATATATATATATATATATATATACCAGTATATATATAATTTAATAGTTTTTTTTGGCTAACTCAGTATATATATACTATTGATATACAACATTAACATTTTTAGTTGTATAACATTTTCTAATATGTAATGTTATTTTATTGATGTTAGTGAATGTTTAAAATATTATTAATTGTATTTAATATATTTTTATATATATATATTTTTGGATAAGTGTTATGAGATAAAATTATCTCAAATTAGATCAAATATTTAAAGTACTTTAAACAAAATTTCAATTTTTTAAATTAATAATAATAATAATACATTTAATAAATATGTCTATCAATTATTCTGGCTACTATTATATTATCAAGTTTTTAAAATACAGCGGCAATGGTCACTATAGGATTGCCAATAATTCAAAACATCAGCAAAAATGTCACCAAAAATTAAAAATCTTATTAAATTATTTATTCATATTTTATATAATAATTTTATGTTTTATTAGTTTATTCAATAGTTTTAAATCTGTGTTCAAATCCCAGATACTTATCGACATTCATCTGCTATCCTATTCAATGATTTTTATTAAGACACTGATTGGCAGCTTATTATTGTTGATAAATGGCAAACAAATATATCAACTTTTATGGTCAGTTCATATTAGACATGTTAGACAAAAAATAGATGATAAGGGCTGGTTAGCTGCCATTGTAATTATTGTCGTACACTTGACAATTGTGGCGGTAATGGAAATGCTAGCAATTGTCATTGATGTTTGGATTAATGACCACCAACTAATCCAATGTCTATTAGTTAGACTTATTTATTTGCCACTAGACAATGCTAGATTTATTACCATAACAATTATTGGCTATATTAATCTAATGGTATCAGCTGATATAAAACATACATACATTTAAAATGCATACAACTATCGATAAAATAAGTCAACTGGCCTATCAATTGCATCAGCTTAAATTGATCATGCAACAATTAAATAGTCTATTATGGTTAGACATTGTGAGCATGATAATTTGCTGTACAATTGAATGTGCCTGTTCAATTTGTCTAATAATTGTATCAAAATTTCAACTTTGGCACGTATTTATACAATTATTAGTAAAGGGATTGATAACATTGGTGGCATTGGTTTATATTGGGTCACTAAACTACCGGGCCTTTACATACGGTATTGATGACCTGGAAAATCGCTTTATCAAAGACAGTGGTTATTTAGGTGTCGCCGAAACACGTAAACAGTATCGACGGGCGTTTGATATCATAAATCGTTTGAAACAATCGTCAAACGATATGTACATCAGTCCGGTAGACAATAGGCGGACACTGGTATCGCATATGGCTTTCAGTATAATCAACATTATTATCACATTATCAATAGTTTTTATAAAATATGAGACAACATAAATAGCAATACATTTAAAAAAAATAGTTATTATTATTAATATTATTAAGTATTGGATAATACTATAAGTTATAGTCTTATAAGTGTAAAAATATTTATCTTATTTTTGTTGTTGGAATTAATTAAATTAATTAAATTAATAAATTCTTTGAAATAAAAAAATATATATATTTATATAATTTATTGTTTCATAAATTTAAAAAAAACTAAAAACAAAATCAATGAATTGAAATTATTAATTTGTAAATTTCATAGAAAAAAATATAATATAAATGTAAAWTTATTTAWTTATTTTTTACATATATATATATATATATCACTAATTATTAATTGTACAGTAATTTTAATAATCATTATTTGGATGACTATCGAGAAAGCTYTGGACAACAGTTTTATCTAAACAAACGACAATCACTTCTCCGCCGTCGCAGCCCTTCTTCGACTTCATTAGTCTATGATCTTTGACTGTCACTGATCTGTGCTCTGAGTACTACTGACTACTGACTACTACTACTACTACTACTACTACTACTACTACTACTACTACTACTACTACTACTACTTTGAAATTAAATAAATAATTTTTTTTATTAAATTTATTATTTAAATATTTATAAAATGTATTTTATTACATAGTATTTGTTAAGATTGAGTAACAAAAACACAAATATATTTTTAAGTTTATTATTAAATAATTTAAAAAAACATATAAAATATCAATTTATGAAATTTAAGTATTTTATGAAAATCATATTAAAATAAAATTGTTTTATAAAAACTACATATTTATTCAATTTTAAATAATATTAATATTTAAATTTCTAATTAAAACTTTTAATGTTTGGATAATTGTTAAAAATGTTTTGTTTGATAGTGTTGTGTAAGTAAACTATTATTACAATTATTATATATTTATAATAAAATTAACACAAAAAAAATAATTATAAAAACTTTTAAAGTCTTTATCAGTGTTTGCAATGTTGTTGATGTTGTTGTGTTTGGCCTACAAATCGGTGATTATCCGGACATTACTAACACTACTGACTGTGGTATCGGTCGTGAGTCGCAAGTGATGACCGACCGGTGCTTTGAATGGCACAGTAGTCGTGATTTAATGGACACTTCCTCAATAGTCAACGGAAGGGACGCAAAGAGGGCTGAATTACCATATATTGTATACATCGAGGAGTGGAGAGACAACAAACTCAGGTATTTTGACTTTTTAAATATATATATATATATATATATATACATGTATATTTTGTATGAATAACTCTCTGGGTGGTTGGTTGGTTGGTTGGTTGGGTGGGTGGGTTGGTGGGTGAGTATAAATCTAGGATAATCTCCAGTAAGGATAAGATAGCTTTATCATATCTCAGCCCCACCACAACCTACCGCCATCCCCTAATAGCGCCTCCAGATCCAACATTGAACATATATATATAGAAATTTATGTTATACTATACTATACTACAGTTCCAGGTGTACGGGTTCGGTACTCAACCGTAATTGGATCGTTACGGCCGGTCATTGTATGGAATATTGTTTGCCGGATGTTTGCAATTGGAAAGTATATCCGGGAATTGTGGACATCAATGATAAAGGAGACGACTATGGAGTCAAACGATTTATAATACATGAAAACTATACGAATCGGGTTAGCGATGACAACGATATTGCATTAATACAAGTCATGAAACCAATGAATTTTACGGCAAAAAGTGGTCAATACTATCGGCACATAAATTCTATTTGTTTGCCGCAAATTGGTCGCAACAACACCGGCGGCGGCTATAAGTATGCATTGATTGCCGGCTTTGGTTTAATAGCTAAAGAAGATAAGTATTACTTAATCGATGATCACATCCAACCTAATCGGCTACAAATGGGTTGGACTCGGGTATTGCCGGTCAAACCGAATGATAATCCCAATCACTTGACGGTCAATGTCTTTCCATTTCCCGGCGGTTCCCATATTTGCAATGTGAGTGAGTGAGTGTTTGAGTGGTGTTTATATATTTTTAAACTAAAATATGAATTAAAAATTATTTTATAATCAATTAATTTAAATTATAGGGCGATTCTGGTGGTCCACTCATAGAATATATCAACGGTAGGGCTGTCCTAATAGGTGTGGCGTCCAGTACTAGGCTATATAAAGTTACTTATAAGTGTGTATTAGAGGAACAGGTGAATATGACATTCATCAAAGTTTTAACAAAAATTAATTGGATTAAACAACAAATTAATGGATAGTTTCAGAGAAAGAGAGAGAGAGAGAGAGAGAGAGAGAGAGAGAGAGAGAGAGAGATTTAATACAATATTAAAATACGGGAAAAATGTTAATTCAATAAATAATTTAATTTGTTTACTATTAGCAATAATATATTATAAAATACAGTTTAATTTACTATTTACTATTATTATTATTATTATTTTAAATACTACTACTGCTGCTGCCACTACCACCACTACCACCACTACCACCACTACCACCACTACCACCACTACCACCACTACCACCACTACCACCACTACCACCACTACCACCACTACCACCACTACCACCACTACCACCACTACCACCACTACCACCACTACTAGATTTAGTTGCCTGACACATATAGTGTTAGTACAGTGTAATAATTAATTACTATATACAGTATAAAAATAATATATCATAACCCCCCCCCCCCACCCACAAATAAATACATTTTATTTTTTGTTTTGTCAGAATAAAAGATAAATTTTAATAGAATTTTTAAAATATTTTTGTTTGTTTGAATAAAAGTTAAATTTAAATAAAATTGTAAAATTAGTTTTGTTGTAAAATATTACAATAAATATTATAACATATTTCCAAATAATTACTGATAATAATCAGATGATTAGTTATCAATTAATTAATTAATTATTTAATAGTTATATAAATATAATAGTATACTATAATCTATATACAGTATAAGTATAAATTTATTATTGTATAACTTTTAAATGTATTTTTATAATTTTTATAGTATTTTTGTGATTACATTATACACATCATTTGTATTAAAATATATATATATATAACTTATTTTAATAATACATGTATTATAATTATAAATAAAAATATTGTGTTTGAAATAAATATTTTTAATAAAACAAATTTTTTAAATATATTTTACTTGTGAATCAAAGTGTAAATGAAATGTTTTTAAAATATTTTTTTATTGACAAATTTAAAACATCAAATTTACATTATTTTAGGAAAATTATTTTTTTACTATAGATATGAAACTGAATTTTATATTTTTGTTATTGAAAATATTGTTTTTAAAAAAATGTAATTTATTAGTGTAGTATATTTTAATTTCATCTACTTTATAAAATATAATACTTATTTAAATACTGTATAATGTATTTATATAATATTTGTATTTTTTTAAAAAAATAAATTATATAAATATTTATATATTTATGATATATTAATATTAATTTAGACATCAATATCATCATCGACTCAATTAACATCATCGGAGACACATTGATACGGCCATCACTCGGACGATGATGTCGTATGGAAATTGGCCACTGATTGCCTAAAAACTGATTTTATTGACCAGTTTTATTGGTTTAAGTGGCCAGTGGTTTATGTTATATATATATATATATATATATATATATATATAGTATAAGTTAGGCTATAATATACAACAATTAATGTTGAATATGATATTTTCTGTTATTCAAAAATTTTCATATTATATATTGTTTACTTATAAAACTGTTTTTTGGTTAAAGGAATCAAATATATGTAATATATATATATATATATTATGTATTAATTCTGTATTTAATTAACAGATTATCAACTTTTCTAACTAAATAATTTAAAAAATCATTGACTAATTACATAATAAAAATAATAATTATTTTTATATAATTTTTATTATTAAAATCATGATAATTAATTTAAAATGAATAAATGTTTGATGTAAAAATTATTTTTATAATTATCAATTAAAAATTGCTAATTAAATATATTTATTAAGATAACATTTAGCTATTGATTGAAATATGTATTATATTTCTAGATATTAAAATAATATAGAAAATAAATAATTTCGTTATGTTTATTATTTTACTTAATTGTTTATATTAAATTACAATTACAAAAATATATTTAAAGTTTTTTATTTAATAATAAAAAACACTTATTAAATAACAATTTCTGAAATTTAAGTATTTTTAAGAAATTTTATTATAATTATAACAGTTTTAAAAACTATCTATTGATTGAATTATAGTTTAATATTTAACTTTTATTAAACTGTTATTTAAATAATTGTCAAAAAAAATGTTTTGTTTGATAGCATTGATGTGTAAGTATTGTTAAGTTTATTATTACAATTTAGTTGTATTTATATCAATATATCATAAAATTAACACAAAAAACAAATAATTTAAGTTATAATCGGTGTTTGCAATGTTGTTGATGTTGTTGTTGTGTTTGGCCTACAAATCGGTGATTATCCGGACATTATTAATACTACTGACTGTGGTATCGGTCGTGAGTCGCAAGTGATGACCGACCGGTGCTTTGAATGGCACAGTAGTCGTGATTTAATGAACACTTCCTCCTCCTTGTCCTCAATAGTCAACGGAAGGGACGCAAAGAGGGCTGAATTGCCATATATTGTATACATCGAGGAGTGGATAGACAACGAAATTAAGTATTTCGACTATTTATATATAATATATACTGTATATTAATAACTAACTTATAATAATAATATCTTGACTTAAATCTCTCTCTCTCTCTCTCTCTCTCTCTCTCTCTCTCTCTCTCTCTCTCTCTCTCTCTGACTATAAATATATATATATATAATGATATTTTATATAAATCCAGTGGTCGTTGTACGGGAACTGTACTCAACCAGCACTGGATACTGACTGCTGCCCACTGTTATAATGACTGTGACAGTTGTTTATATAAAATATATGCGGGAATTATAGATATTAGATATCCGGGCATTGATTATGGTATCAATAGAGTCATTGTTCACGAAAACAATTCACGAGTCAATGACTTAGCACTGATTAATGTGAAAATACCGATGAATTTCAGTGCAAACAATGGTTTTTATCGGCAGATAAACGGTATTTGTTTGCCGACTATCGATCAAAACAATACCGACTACGAGTACGCCGTAATCGCCGGTTTTGGTTTGACTGCCGGAGATGAAAGGAAATCTGAGTTACAAATGGGTTGGATTCGCATCAATCCTATTGATCCAAACGATCCAAATGTTTTATATGCCGTCACATATCCGGAACCGCCTAACGGCACACATCTTTGCAATGTATGTATTATTTCGACAATTATTATATATACTACCGTATGTACGCGCATAAAGCCCCCACTAACAGGTTTTTTAAGTTATAAAAATCAACTTTTAGTATGGTGCTGTAACTCACATATACCCCCCTATACTGGGGCTATATTTGAAGTCGTGGAGTTAGGAAACGATAGGAGGGGGGGATAGTTCAACATAATGTTGCATTTTAGACATTCAATAACTTCAATAGTGGGGGCTATTTGTGAATTCATTAAATCTCCAACTTTTGATGTGTGGCCGTAACTCACATATAGTCCCATAGTTTTATACATTTAGCTCCGGATGCCATAAGGTGGGAGGGGGTCTATATGCGCGTACGGACGGTAATATGAACAAAAAAAATGTTTGTTTGTATATATGTATGTTAGGGTGATTCCGGTGGTCCACTAATACAGTATACAAACGGTAGGGCTGTCCTAATAGGAGTCGCTGTTAGAGTTAACGGAATATTTGGATTATGTAATCAATATAATAGGATTGAAATGGATTTCATCAGAGTTGCCACAAAAATCAATTGGATTATAGATATAATCAAAAAATACAACAAATAAATAATTAATTAAAATATTATTTCACAATTTTTTTAATTGTTTTAATAGTTTATTATTAAAAAATAATTTTATTATTAGAATTTACCTAAAAGTTAAATATTATAGTTATGAATCATAACTTATGATTAAATACCGGACTATTAGTATATCATTTATAACTATTAGATCAATTAAAATAAGTCGATTAAAATCAAGATAATTAATTTAAATCAATAAATAATTAATAAGTAAAAATAATAATTTTTATAATTATTTAATTAAATATTGTTAAATAAATATTTTCATTAATATAATATTTTAACTATTGATTGAAATATGTATTATATTTCTAGATATTAAAATAATGTAGAAAATATAAATCAAATATATGTAATATATATATATATATATATATATATATATTATGTATTAATTCTGTATTTAATTAACAGATTATCAACTTTTCTAACTAAATAATTTAAAAAATCATTGACTAATTACATAATAAAAATAATAATTATTTTTATATAATTTTTATTATTAAAATCATGATAATTAATTTAAAATGAATAAATGTTTGATGTAAAAATTATTTTTATAATTATCAATTAAAAATTGCTAATTAAATATATTTATTAAGAAAACATTTAGATATTAATTGAAATATGTATTATATTACTAGATATTAAAATAATTTATAAATTAAATAAATTAATTTTTTATATCTATTATTAAACTTAGTTGTTTATATTAAGTTACAATTACAAATATATATGTAAAGTTTTTTATTTAATAATAAAAAAGACATATTAAATAACAATTTATGAAATTTAAGTATTTTTAAGAAATTTAATTATAATTATAACTGTTTTATAAACTATCTATTGATTCAATTATAGTTAATAATTTAACTTTTATTAAACTGTTATTTAAATAATTGTCAAAAAAAATGTTTTGTTTGATAGCATTGATGTGTAAGTATTGTTAAGTTTATTATTACAATTTAGTTGTATTTATATCAATATATCATAAAATTAACACAAAAAACAAATAATTTAAAAAAAAATTTAAGTTATAATCGGTGTTTGCAATGTTGTTGATGTTGTTGTTGGCCTACAAATCGGTGATTATCCGGACATTATTAATACTACTGACTGTGGTATCGGTCGAGAGTCGCAACTGATGACCGACCGGTGCTTTGAATGGCACAGTAGTCGTGATTTAATGAACACTTCCTCCTCCTTGTCCTCAATAGTCAACGGAAGGGACGCAAAGAGGGCTGAATTGCCATATATTGTATACATTGAGAAATGGAAAGACAACGACAAGTATTTCGACTATTTTTATATATTAATAGATAATTTATAACTAATTATTATTATTATTATTAATAACTTCACTTAACTCTCTCTCTCTCTCTCTCTGACTATATATATATATAATCTGATATTTTATATAAATCCAGTACTCGATGTACGGGAACTGTACTCAACCAGCACTGGATACTGACTGCTGCCCACTGTTATGAGGAATGTGACAATTGTTTATATAAAATATATGCGGGAATTATAGATATTAGATATCCGGGCATTGATTATGGTATCAATAGAGTCATTGTTCACGAAAACAATTCAGCTGTCAATGACTTAGCACTGATTAATGTGAAAATACCGATGAATTTCAGTACAAACAATGGTTACTATTATCGGCAGATAAACGGTATTTGTTTGCCGACTATCGATCAAAACAATACCGACTACGAGTACGCCGTAATCGCCGGTTTTGGTTTGACTGCCGGACATGAAAGGAAATCTGAGTTACAAATGGGTTGGATTCGCATAAACCCTATTAACCCAAACGATCCAAACATGTTATATGCCGTCACATATCCGGAACCGCCTAACGGCTCACATCTATGCAATGTATGTATTGTTTTGACAATTATTATTTATATATTATTAAGGGTTAAGCAAGTTTTTTTTTTGGATTTTAGGGAGGGGGGTCTTTAGGAGGTAAAATGACAAAAATCTTAGAGGTGTAGTGTGGTGTAGATCTCAAAAAAAATTCTTCAAATTTTTAAATATTCCCATATAAATTCCTTAAAATTTCCTAAATTCCCACGAAAATAGGTAAATTTCTCTATAATTAATAAAAACTTAAATTTTAACTAAAATTTTAAAAATAAAATTAGATTTAGTTAAAATTTTGAAATACTTATAAAAATAACAATAAGATAATTATTTTTAAACAATATTCTACTTATAACATTAATTTTATTAATAAAAATTAATGCTAAAGTTAGTTACAAATTTTTATTTTTTAAATATTATTTTTATATAAATATTGACTCAATACTAATTATTTAACTTAATTTTAGTTAAAGTTTTAATTAAAATTATTATAAAATTACATTAATACAACTAAGATTTCAAAAATTTTTAATAAAATCTTAATCATATACTTTGATATTTATATATATTTTATATGCTTATCATATGTTTTACTAACTTTATTTTTTTTAAAATTCTATTTAAATTTTAATACCATTACTGTCTTAATACAAATAGTTAATTTTTAAATTAAAATTTTATATTTTAACGTAATTTTAGCTATTTTTTCTTATTTTTAATTAATAATTTCATTCATATAAGTTATAAATACATAATAACATATAATAAAATATTATCATTTAAATTGAATTTTTTTGTAAAACTTTATGGGGAGGGGAGGGGAGGGGTTCAAAGGACTATATTTTCCATTTGGTTAATAAAGTTTGGGCTGTAAAATACTAAAATTTCGATCTTAGAGGGGGTATTTTAGCTTTACCTCCTATCCCCTTGCTTGACCCTGATATTAATATCTAAAAAAACGTTTGTTTGTATGGTTGGTTGGTTAGGGTGATTCTGGTGGTCCAATAATACAGTATACAAACGGTAGGGCTGTCCTAATAGGAGTCACTGTTAGAGGTAACGGAATATTTGGATTATGTATAACAGATGAACCAATGAAAATGCAATTCATAAGAGTTGCCACAAAAATCAATTGGATTATCGATATAATCAAAAAATACAACAAATAAATAATTAATTAAAATATTAATTCACAAATAGCTTATTATTAAGGAAAACAAATTATTATTAGAATTTACCTAAAAGTTAAATATTATAGTTATAATCAAATACCGGACTATTAGTATATCATTTATAACTATTAGTTCAATTAAAATCAAGATAGTTAATTTAAATTAATAAATAATTTTTATAATTATTTAATTAAAAATTGTTAAATAAATATTTTCATTAATATAATATTATAGCTATTGATTGAAATATGTATTATAATCTAGAAATTAAATAATTTCGTTTTTTTATTATTTTACTTAATTGTTTATATTAAATTACAATTACAAAAATATTTGTAAAGTTTTATATTTAATAATAAAAAAGACATTAGAAATCAATTTTCTGATTTTATTGGCCAGTTTTATTGGTTTAAGTTTTATTTTTTATATATATAGTATAAGTTAGGATATAATATACAACAATTAATGTTGAATATTATATTTTCAGTTATTCAAAAGTTTTCATATTATATATTATTTACTTATAAAACTGTTTTTTGGTTAAAGTAATCAAATATATATAATATATTATGTATTAATTCTGTATTTAATTAACATGTTATCAACTTTTCTAACTAAATAATTTAAAAATGAGTGACTGTTTACATAACAAAAATAATAATTATTTTTATATAAGTTTTATTATTAAAATCATGATAGTTAAGTTAAAATGAATAAATGTTTGATGTAAAAATTATTTTTATAATTATAAATTAAAAATTGTTAATTAAATATATTTATTAAGATAACATTTAGCTATTGATTGAAATATGTATTATATTACTAGATATTAAAATAAAATAAAATTAAAATAAATTTATTTCTTATATATTTATTATTAAACTTAATTGTTTATATTAAATTACAATTACAAAAATATATGTAAATTTTTTTTATTAAATAATAAAAAAGACATATTAAATAACAATTTATGAAATTTAAGTATTTTAAAGAAATTTTATTATAATTATAACTGTTTTAAAAACTATCTATTGATTGAATTATAGTTTAATATTTATCTTTCATTAAACTGTTAGTTAAATAAATGTCAAAAAAATGTTTTGTTTGATAGCATTGATGTGTAAGTATTGCTAAGTTTATTATTACAATTTAGTTGTATTTATATCAATATATTATAAAATTAACACAAAAAAAAATTAAAGTCTTGATCGGTGTTGTGTTTGGCCTACAAATCGGTGATTATCCGGACATTACTAATACTACTGACTGTGGTATCGGTCGTGAGTCGCAACTGATGACCGACCGGTGCTTTGAATGGCACAGTAGTCGTGATTTAATGAACACTTCCTCCTCCTTGTCCTCAATAGTCAACGGAAGGGACGCAAAGAGGGCTGAATTGCCATATATTGTATACATTGAGAAATGGAAAGACAACGACAAGTATTTCGACTATTTTTATATATTAATAGATAATTTATAACTAATTATTATTATTATTATTAATAACTTCAATTAAACATCTCTCTCTCTCTCTCTCTCTCTGACTATAAATATATATAATATATTATATATAATCTGATATTTTATATAAATCCAGTACTCGATGTACGGGAACTGTACTCAACCAGCACTGGATACTGACTGCTGCCCACTGTTATGAGGAATGTGACAATTGTTTATATAAAATATATGCGGGAATTATAGATATTAGATATCCGGGCATTGATTATGGTATCAATAAAGTCATTAAACACGAAAACAATTCAGATGTCAATGACTTAGCACTGATTAATGTGAAAATACCGATGAATTTCAGTGCAAACAATGGTTACTATTATCGGCAGATAAACGGTATTTGTTTGCCGACTATCGATCAAAACAATACCGACTACGAGTACGCCGTAATCGCCGGCTTTGGTTTGACTGCACATCTTGAAAGAAAATCTGAGTTACAAATGGGTTGGATTCGTATCAATCCTATTGACACCCAAAACGATCCAAACATGTTATATGCCGTCACATATCCGGAACCGCCTAACGGCACACATCTTTGCAATGTATGTATTGTTTCGACAATTATTATATATACTACCGTATGTACGCACATATAGCCCCCCCCTAACAGGTTTTTAAAGTTATAAAAATCAACTTTTAGTATGGGGCCGTAACTCACATACACCCCCCTATACTGGGGCTATATTTGAAGTCGTGGAGGTAGGAAACGATAGGAGGGGGGGGGATAGTTCAACATAATGTTGCATTTTAGACATTCAATAACATCAATAGTGGGGGCTATTTGTGAATTCATTAAATATCGAACTTTTGATGTGTGGCCGTAACTCACATATAGTCCCATAGTTTTATACATTTAGCTCCGGATGCCATAAGGTGGGAGGGGGGGTCTATATGCGCGTACGGACGGTAATATGAACAAAAAAAATGTTTGTTTGTATTGTATGTATGTTAGGGTGATTCTGGTGGTCCACTAATACAGTATACAAACGGTAGGGCTGTCCTAATAGGAGTCAGTGTTAGAGTTACGGGAATATTTGGATTGTGTAAAGATTATGATTATATTAAAATGAGTTTCATCAGAGTTGCCACAAAAATCGATTGGATTATAGATATAATCAAAAAAATATAACAAATAAATGATTAATTAAAATATTTTTTAAAATTGTTTTAATAGTTTATTATTAGAATTTACCTAAAAGTTCAATATTATAGTTATAATTAAATACCGGACTATTAGTATATATCATTTATAACTATTAGATCAATTAAAATAAATCGATTAAAATCAAGATAGTTAAATTAAATGAATAAATAATTTTTATAATTATTTAATTAAATATTTTTAAATAAATATTTTCATTAATATAATATTATAGCTATTGATTGAAATATGTATTATATTTCTAGATATTAAAATAATATAGATAATAAATAATTTCGTTATGTTTATTATTTTACTTAATTGTTTATATTAAATTACAATTACAAAAATATATGTAAAGTTTTTTATTTAATAATAAATAAACACATCAAATATCAATTTCAGAAATTTAAGTTATTTAAAAAAATTTTATTATAACAACTATTAAATAAATTAATTTTTTATATCTATTATTAAACTTAGTTGTTTATATTAAGTTACAATTACAAAAATATATGTAAGGTTTTTTATTTAATAATAAAAAAGACATATTAAATAACAATTTATGAAATTTAAGTATTTTTAAAAAATTTAATTATAATTATAACTGTTTTATAAACTATCTATTGATTCAATTATAGTTAATAATTTAAAATTCATTAAACAATAATTTAAATAATTGTCAAAAAATGTATTGTTTGATAGCATTGATGTGTAAGTATTGTTAACTTTATTATTACAATTTAGTTGTATTTATATCAATATATCATAAAATTGACACAAAAAACAAATAATTTTTAAAAATTTAAGTTATAATCAGTGTTTGCAATGTTGTTGATGTTGTTGTTGTGTTTGGCCTACAAATCGGTGATTATCCGGACATTACTAATACTCCGGACTGTGGTATCGGTCGTGAGTCGCAACTGATGACCGACCGGTGCTTTGAATGGCACAGTAGTCGTGATTTAATGAACACTTCCTCCTCCTTGTCCTCAATAGTCAACGGAAGGGATGCAAAGAGGGCTGAATTGCCATATATTGTATACATTGAGCAATGGGTGGACAACAAATACAGGTATGATTTCAATTATAATAATTATAGGGTGTTTGGTTGGTTGGGTTGGGTTGGTGGGTGAGTATCAATCTAGGATTTTTATCCAGTAATTTCCAGTAAGAAAACGATTTTTTAAACATCTCGCAGCCCACAAGTATTTATTGTTTTACTAACTTTATTTATCTTAAACTTAAACTATTTAACTCTCTCTTTTTTTTACAAAATTTTTTAGTTGAATATTTTTTTTAATTAAAATAATGTTAGTTTTAGATGTGTTTTTTACTTGATTTTAACTGTTAATAATCATAATTAGATTCTTATGATTTAAAAAAAAACATTTACTAAAATAGTATCGATTAAAACTAAAATTTTTTATAAACTTCAAAGAATGTTTTAGGCGCCCAAATTTTAGGGGGAGGGGGGAGGGAAGGGTTATTTATACTTGTTTTTAAGCTACAATTTTTCCCATTTGGTCAAAATGAAAAAGTCTGGGATGGTCAAATCCTAAAAGCTCAATCTTAGGAAGGGGGGGCAATTTGGCTTGACCTCACCCTACCCCACCCCCTTGCTTAACCCTGATATATATATATATATATATATATATATATGATATACTATAATACAGTTCCAGTTGTACGGGTTCGGTACTCAACCGTAATTGGATCGTAACGGCCGGTCATTGTATAATAGATTGTTTGCCAGATGTTTGCAATTGGAAAGTATATCCGGGAATTGTGGACATCAATGATAAAGGAGACGACTATGGAGTCAAACGATTTATAATACATGAAAACTATACGAATGGGGTTAGCGATGACAACGATATTGCATTAATACAAGTCATGAAACCAATGAATTTTACGGCAAAAAGTGGTCAATATTATCGGCAACTAAATTCTATTTGTTTGCCGCAAAATGGTCTCAACAACACCGGCGGCGGCGGCTATAAGTATGCATTGATTGCCGGCTTTGGTTTAATGGCTAAAGAAGATAAGTATTACTTAATCGATGATCACATCCAACCTAATCGGCTACAAATGGGTTGGACTCGGGTATTGCCGGTCAAACCGAATGATAATCCCAATCACTTGACGGTCAATGTCTATCCATTTCCCGGCGGTTCCCATACTTGTAATGTGAGTGATTGATTGAGTGGGGTTTATATATTTTTAAACTAAAATATGAATTAAAAATTATTTTATAATCAATTATAGGGCGATTCTGGTGGTCCACTCATCCAGTATACCAACGGTAGGGCTGTCCTAATAGGTGTGGCGTCCAGTACTAGGATATATAAAGTTACTTATAAGTGTGTATTAGAGGAACAGATGAATATGACATTCATCAAAGTGTTAACAAAAATTAATTGGATTAAACAACAAATTAATGGATAGTTTCAGAAAGAGAGAGAGAGAGAGAGAGAGAGAGAGAGAGAGAGAGAGAGAGATTTAATACATTATTAAAATGTTAATTCAATAAATAATTTAATTTGTTTACTATTAGCAACAATATATTGTACTATAAAATACAGTTTAATTTATTTGTTAGTATTATTTATAGTATTAATATTATTATTATTATTTTAAGTACTACTACTACTGCTGCTGCCATTACCACTACTACCACTACTACCACTACCACCACTACCACCACTACCACCACTACCACCACTACCACCACTACCACCACTACCACCACTACCACCACTACCACCACTACCACCACTACCACCACTACCACCACTACCACCACTACCACCACTACCACCACTACCACCACTACCACCACTACCACCACTACCACCACTACCACCACTACCACCACTACCACCACTACCACCACTACCACCACTACCACCACTACCACCACTACCACCACTACCACCACTACTAGATTTAGTTGCCTGACACATATAGTGTTAGTACAGTGTAATAATTAATTACTATATACAGTATAAAAATAATATATCATAACCCCCCCCCCACCCACAAATAAATACATTTTATTTTTTGTTTTGTCAGAATAAAAGATAAATTTAAATAGAATTTTTAAAATATTTTTGTTTGTTTGAATAAAAGTTAAATTTAAATAAAATTTTAAAATTAGTTTTGTTGTAAAATATTACAATAAATATTATAACTTATTTCCAAACAATTACTGATAATAATCAGATGATTAGTTATCAAATAATTAATTAATTATTTAATAGTTATATAAATATAATAGTATACTATAATCTATATATATAAGTATTAATTTATTAATTTATAACTTTTAAATGTATAGTAAGTTTTTTTAGTATTTTTGTTATTATATTATACAAAGCATTTGTTTTAAAATATTAAAATATATTTATATATATAACTTATTTTAATAATACATGTATTATAATTATAAATAAAAATATTGTATTTGAAATAAATATTTTTAATAAAACAATTTTTTTGTAAATCAACGTGTAAATGAAATGTTTTTAAAATATTTTTTTATTGACAAATTTAAAAAATCAAATTTACATTATTTTAGTAAAATTATTTTTTTACTATAGATATGAAACTGAATTTAATATTTTTGTTATTGAAAATATTGTTTTTTAAAAAATGTAATTTATTAGCGTAGTATATTTTTTTAATAAATTATAAATATATATATATTATATATATTTATGATATATTAATATTAATTTAGGCATTAATATCATCATCGACTCAATTAACATCATCGGAGACACATTGATCCGGCCATCACTCGGACGATGATGTCGTATGGAAATTGGCCACTGATTGCCTAAAAACTGATTTTATTGRCCAGTTTTATTGGTTTAAGTGGCCAGTGGTTTAAGTTTTATTTATATATATATAGTATAAGTTAGGCTATAATATACAACAATTAATGTTGAATATTATATTTTCTGTTATTCAAAAATTTTCATATTATATATTATTTACTTATAAAACTGTTTTTTGGTTAAAGGAATCAAATATATGTAATATATATAAAGTGTGTTTCAATCGTATAAAACCACAACAAAAAAATTGAATAACTTTTGATAGGATTGAGATTTTTTAATGAAATTTTAGATAATAAAACTTCAAACATTTTTACATCTGTTGATGTGTTTATATGTCATACCGTAACAATGGTTTGTCCGCACCGCGCGATTTAACTAAAAATAGCGTTTAACTCGTATAAAACCAGTCGCGAGACGTATAAGAAATCAATACTA